TAAAAAAAAAAGGAACAAACAAAACAGAAGCAAACTCATAGATAGAAAGAAGAAACTGATGGTCGCCAGATGGGAGGGGGATTGAGTGAGGGCATGGGCAAAAAAGGTAAAAGGGATTAAGAAATATAAATTTCCAATTATAAAAATAGTCATGGGGATATGAAGTACAGCACAGGGAATATAGTCAATATTGTAATAACTCTGTATGGTGCCAGATGGGTACTACACTTATTGGAGTGATCACTTCGTAAGGAATATAAATATCTAATCACTATGTTGTATACCTGAAACTAATATAGGTCAACTATAATTGAAAAAATAAACTTAAAAAAAGTGTGTTCTAGCCATATTAATATCAGATAAAGACTTTCTGACAAAAAGTATTGTTGTGATATGGATCTTTACATAATGATAAACCCATAATCATAGTGGAATATTTATCCATTTCTTTCAATTATTGATTGGTTATCAAACAAATGAGTAAAGAAATGGAAAATTTAAACAATAAAATGAAAATGTAGAATCCTGTACCACCAAATTAGAGAATACACATTATTTTTAATTACCTATGAACCACTTTTAATAAATGAACAGAAAATTAAAAACTTTTGTGCATCAAATAACACTGTCAAGAGAGTGAAAAGACAACTCACAGGTTATAACTCAAAGAATAAATATCCATGAGTCCAGTGATAGATAAATGGGGGGAAATGGGACAAATCTTCCTTCTTTAAGAAGACTTTCAAATAATATATGTAGACACTCCCCCTTCAGGAAATGGGATGTAATACCCCTCCTGCTGATTAGAGTAGACTTGCTGACTTCCAAAGAATAAAGCATAGGAAGGGAAAATAGTACCTTTACAAAGAAGAACCCTGAAAGATACCACCTTAATCCAGTGGTCAAGCCAGAGACCTGGGGCGTTGGGGTCCCCCTAGACCTCTCTTTCATTTCCATTTAGCTCAGGTTACAGTGCTTCACTGATTTGGTTTCCAAAATGTCACCTCTCACTCTGCCCCACGGGCACTGACTATGACTTCAGTTGTCATGATGCTGTATGTTCTGGGCCTTCTCTACGAGGGGAGCAGCTGAAAACATTATAAGGAGTAAGAAGGATTAAGATGTGAGGCATTAGGCCAACCAGACAGAGGCAAGTAACGTGCCCAAGGTCACACAGCTACGGGGTGCTGAGGTGTGAATCTGAACTCAGGTAATTTGGCTCCTGTCTGTTTAAACCATTACTCAGTATAAACACACGTGGTTTTTGTTCTTTGTGATCGGATTTAACTACATCTGTTATTAGAGTAACACTAGAGCTAGAAACCCCCAGGTCTCAATGGCTTAACTATAACAAAAATCCCTCATATCACAATGCTTTCAAGGTAGTGACGGTGAAACCCAGTTTCCTTCCCCTGTGACTCTGCCATCTTCCAGAGAGCATCCTGTGCATTTAGCCAGCACAAGGGGGACAAGCTCATAAGACTGGTGAGATGCTTTTACAGACCAGGTCTGGGAATGGCAGAAGTTACTTTTCACCAAGTGTACCCCTAGCTGTGTGCTCTAGAAGAAAAGGAAATGGAGTTTGGTAAGCCCCCGCCTTTTTGTGAAATCTAATTGCTCATAGTTCTGATTTACTTAAGAAACACTGAGCATCTAGTCTATACTTAGGTTTGTATTCTATTCTATACAACTGTATTCTATACAATTTATAATGGCTTATGCTTTTCAAAAAATATATACCCATAGCCACACAGTGCACAAAATTTAAAATCTCCTTCTCAAAAAGGCAAGAATATACAATTGGGTAGTTGTATATTTACATACGAATATGTACATGTAAGTATAGATATAATCAAATCTGGCCATGATTAAAACACTACATGATTCACATCTTATTCACAAACTGGCTAAAAATCTTTTATATGCTCAAAAGTAGACCAAAAAAACAAACAAAAACCTCAAAACCCTATTTAAATGGTGTCAAAATACTTGAAGTACCCTGTATTGCTTCCCATTTGATATTACTAGAAATAAAATCAAATTGTATGTGTTCCTAGATAAATTTTTAAATCTTAAAAAAAAAAAGGCAAGATGAAACCCTTTAGAAGAAAACAAATTCTCCCATGAAGCTAAAAAGTGTGTTATATGGGGTATACCCACACCATAAGAATACTTTAGATAAAAG